AGAGAGAGAGAGAGAGAGAGAGAGAGAGAGAGAGAGAGAGAGAGAGACATCACTGAGCACACTCAGATCATGATAGCCGGCGACAGAAGGCAGCGGGACAACGACCCGCCGCGTATGTCGCATCGAGTCTCTCACCCAGAACGCACCGGTTTTGAACTGGACAGGCAGCGTCGAAGAACATGCCCCTCGATCGTGAAAGCAGCGGGCCACCCAAATGAACAACTCGCGCTTGGGCCTGGTTATTCGACGCTCTGTGTGGCACGGTTCGGGCCCGCCCCTCTCGCGCAGTGTTTCCCAACACCCGGAGCGGGTCTCACGCGGGACGCTATCTGTAGGGATGAGCATGCCAACAAACCAATCTGCGGGTGGAAAGCATGCCATGTGACAATGAGGCGATTGATGCACAAAGTTGCTTAGCTAGATTCAAACCAACTCAAGAGAGAGTCACTTCAACTGAAAAGATGACAGTCTTCGCACACCGAGTATAGAGAAACTTGAAGAAAGGTACCGTACCGTTCAATCTTTTGTGATCCATCAAGCTCCTTCTCATGCAGCAGTTCCTTTGCTCTGTCATGGTCGATGCCTTTCATTGTCTCAAGCAATCTCATAAGGTCCTCCTTTAGCAGATAACCTTTTCCATCTGCCAATTCAGTTCAGGCAAGAAAAAAAATCAACGCTAAGCTCACGGACAGCTGACCGAAGATCCTTTGTGAGCATAACCTTTTCCATCTGCCACGCCATGTTCGGCCAGCCAAGGACATTCCATACATGACCAAGATATCAGTTCCTATCATTCCTTTCACACAATACGCTTCTGCTTCTCATAAATTGCCTCACCCTGATCGTGGACCTCCCATTCTCGTGGTCCATCACCTCTTTAGTAGTATGAGTATGGGTATGTCCCAACAGAGCCAACATTCCGTAGGCACCCGCAGCTATGACCCACAAGGACCATTACTGACCCTGTGTTATTGTCAGGAAAGCAGCAACTAGAACACCATTCCATCCTCCAAAAAATTATAGGAAAAAACATGGAAAGCATTCAAAGAATGATCGTGCTAAGGTTCCCCATGCTTATGCAGTGGATCAAGAAGTGCCAACGCATGAAATGCAATCAATGCGGATGTGCCAAACATCAATCCGCAGACATTCACTCCCCCATGGAGTAGTACGTTCATATGCTTTGGCCGTTGACTCCTCCTTCCCCCGTGGGGCTTGGGCATTCGAATTGTACAAAACACGCTGGCCACACTTCGAAAATCATGTGCTCCAGATCGTATCGATAAAAGGGTTTAGATTTTAGGGTCAAGGATTCACCGGGGACCCCCAAATTTTCAGACCCTGACTAACGGGCCCAAAACTGAAATTAGGGTTTCGGGGTCAATTTTTTTTATTTTTTATTTTATTATTATTTTATTTTTTTTTTCTGGCCTGTTTTTGGTTTAGAACAACAAGGTTACTGTGTGTCAATTTTCGTGCCTTTTGGACCATTCAAAATTCCTCTGTTGACATTTCTGAATTGACGAATTTTGCATGAAAGTGCACCTTTGCTTTGAAGTTTTATGCTCCTTTTCAAGTTTTTTGTTTTTTCTTCTTCTTTTTCTTTGGCTGTTAGTTAGTATGGTGTTCACTTTATGTATGGGTGACAAGTTTGATTAAAAAGGGCTTTGGGTCTTCTTATAAATTGCGTGACAAATTTCTGAAAATTCGGGCCTCCGTTAACCGCCTCTCCACCCCAGCCATCCCACTACTGAAAGCTAGTTCCATCCACATCGAGGATTCTCTTGGGATGACCACAAATAGTCGAACGACAATGCGAAGACCTGTGACGCATGCTATCCGCCTTTCCGTTCACACATTTACTGACAGATAACTCACTCTTTCAGAAGAAGGTGAGCCCTACATTCCCAGCTGCACAAAACCTTTTTGTTTTTGATAAAACAAGTCGAGTGCCACCGTGTCCCTGCCACGGCAGAGGTTTGAACGTGGGCCATGCTGGAGGTGATTTAACAGTCTTTGGATTTTGGGCTTCTACATCAGTGCACGATTTTGGCAAGAAAAAGAAAGAACGAAACAGCTCCTAAAATTCAGACAGGGACCCAGTCTACCTCAATGGTTTCACCTATCCATTGGTACTTGAAGAAATGTAACGTCCTTGTGTGTGTTTTCACCACAACAGGCCCTGTTCCACCCAGATGAGTAGATCCAAAATCAAAGCAGCTTTACCTCTATTGCAGACAATGAAGAACTTGAGATGAGCCAGTCCAACAATGAAACAGTTCTACCTCTATAGCAAGCAACGTGGAGCACAATCGAGCCATTATATCCCTTTCTTAACCATCTTCGCTTTGACTTTCTGTTGGGCACCCCGTTTATTTGTTCTTGCAGCTCCCCTTTTACTGTGCTTCTCGCGTACAAGGCTGGCCACGTTGGTTGTGGTTGAGCGCCAGCTGCCCACATCCGCGTGTGCCTTAATGGACCACTTGCACGTTATGAAAGTAGTAGTAATGAGAGAGGTAAACGCTGTTCATTTTTCTTTAGATCTTCAGATCATATTTTGTCTGTTCTCTTAATGATGATCATTCGTATGCTTTAACTAGTAGTACACAAGAGGAGGGAGGAAGGAAAGGGATAGGTGGTGGATTTCTATAGGAAGCGAGGGGTGGGGAAGGAAGAAGGGGTAGAGGAGGGAAGCGGAGGGGCAAAGAACAGAGCAGAGGAAAGACGGACTTTACAGGGTTCTCAATACTCACCTCTGGAGCAGAATACTCCAGAATCGCACAAGCGGCCAGTCAGTGTTTGCATGTGGGATGAGGCAGAGTGACACGGAGCATGCAAACACCGATTTTTGTCACTAAGAAAGAGACCATGTCCTGGCTGGTGCTATGTGGGCTGGGGGGTCATGTTTGCTGGATGGTATTAAGTTGGCTGGGTATTATTTGTGTTCGGCAGTACCATGTCCGGTGAGTGCTATGTGCACTATGTGGGGCCGATGGTATTAGGTGAGTAGTAGTCTGTGGGGTGGGTCATATACTATGTGGGCCAGGGAGTACTATATGGACTGGGTGGTACCATGTGGGCTGGGTGTTAACATGTGGGCTGCGTGGGTATCGTGTCAACTGGGTGGTCTGCCGGCGAGGTACTATGTGAGTTGCGTAGTGCTATGTGGGCTAGTTGGTACGATGTGGGCTGGGTGGTGCCATGTGGACTGGGTGGTCTGGCTATGTGATACTCTGTGTGGTGGGTAGTACTATGCAGGGTGGTTCATACTATGCAGGCTGGATGGTGCTATGTGGGCTGGGTGGTACAGTCTGAGCTGTGTGGTACATTGTGCACAGGGTGGTATGATGTGAGATGGGCGGTACTATGTGGGCTGAATGATGCTATGCAGGCTGGGCTCAAGGAGTGGTCCAGGTTGAAAGCCCTGTTTGAATAGCAGGTGTGTACTTGTATCCAAACTACCGCACTAATGGTGGGCAAAACCAAAAAACAGAGCAGACACAAAAACGATCAGTTGTTGACTTGTACTCCGGTACCAATTGCGGCCCAATCAGCCTCGTGACGAGTCGGTGAAACTCTGAAAAACAGTTAGTCACAGCCCCTCGTTTGTTGTCCTCTTCTCCCTCTCTGCCTACAGTTTACCGGGCAGTTCTGTTTGACGATACACCAGAAATGAGACACATGATGTGCCAGCCTCCTGATGAGTCGGTGAAACTCTGACGGAACAGTTTGTCACAGCCCCTCGTTTGTTGTCCTCTTCTCCCTCTCTGCCTACGGTTTACCGCACTTGCGGTTAATGGAAGGCTAAAAATTCGGGGTTTTTCGCCGCGTCGCTACAAGCAATGGAGTTCGCCAAAACTTTTTTCGAGTCTGGTGTTTTTGCTAAGTTTTTTGTTACTGCTTCAAATACGGTGAAACTGAATACAGATATACCCCAAACCACATAGATAACAGGCAAAAAGAAAAACAGAGAAAAGAGTAAAAATTCAGGGAAATATGACAGTTTCGGTGAAAAATTCGCCGGATTTTGGGCCTTCCATTAACCGCCTCTTGTTTACCGGGGAGATCTGTTGACGATACACATACATCAGAAATGAGACACATGATGTGCCGTCCCAAAAGCGGCATGCATTGCCCCACAAAAAAAAAACGGCGTCGGAGGACTTTGTCATGGTAACTGATGCCAGTGGAATGGTGTCCACTTGGTCCCGAGCTCAATGGTTTAGATGGGTGAAGGAAAGTCTTCGCGAGAAGTTGATGCACCTATGATTAAGCAATTGGATTAAGCACCGAGTACATGTTGATAAACAGATCAGGTGACATGAGTTCAAAAAACTTCAAATTCTGATTCAGAAAACCAAAAAGAGCAAGTGGAGTGACCACAGAGCAGGGTTAAGAACATCCAAAGCTCCCAAGTGGTCTCTTATGGGTCCGGGAACCACAGCCATTATAAGACTGGAGCACAAACCTTTTATCTCCAGGGGGTTGGATGGAGTTCAATGGCATCACTGAATGCATTTTTATTCTACGAGCAGAAGGTGAACCAGCCCCAAGATCTCCAGAAAAGAATGGAGACATAGCCGTCAGTCTTCGTTGTTCACAGAGAGAGCAACACGGGAAGAACGTGGGGTTGGGGTTGGAAATTCTCCTTCTTCAGGACCCGCAATGTTGCCCAAAGCAGGTTCTTGCGTACCTCTGTCAGCAGCAGAAAATCCGGCTTCAATCTCTGCTTGATGTTGTGGGGTGAGACCAGGGAGGTGATCAGGGTCATCATTGGATAACTGCCATGACAAATTGAAAAATCCAGCAAGTTGCCATGTGGCTTAGTGAATTTGTTCCAAGGGAAACAAGTTTCGGGTTTAAGCAGAAAGCCACCGGCATGCATGCACGCACATACACATCATCACACACACACACACACACACACACACACACACACAC